AAAACTAAAAGCTCAGGCGAAAGTTTTTCCGCCAGTTATCAAATTCAGAAAATTGTCTCTTCTGCCGCCAAGTCAACATTGAGTTCCAAGTCCTGAATCCCGAGTCCCTTGAAAACAGTCCAAAATCCCTGACAAATTGTCAACGAAAGTTTATACTCGCTCCCAAAAGTTGGCTCTTGGCAAAGTTTTTGCAGGCTAACTGCTGACAGTTGTAAAAATAATATTGCGTATACGCAGCGCTTGCCAATGACGAACTGGCTTTCGGGGCCAAAGCAAACACTGTAAGTGAAACGGGTATAAAAATGAAGCCCGAAGGCTGAATGGCACAAAGGCGTCCCAAAGTTTTCCATTCAAGTTGCAATTAGCTGGCCCGAGGAGCCTTAGGAGTCCGGAAACAGACAATGACAAGTGGAGAAACAGGGTCTAAACTTTGACAGCCAACAGAATCTCAGTTGATTGACTTTCTGCTGGCAGAAAGCCGAGCTGAAGGCTCTTTTTTTGTTGTTTTGGTTTTTGGAAAAACAACACTCTACTCCCCAACATTTCCACACTCTGCTCCAGCTTCAATCAGGCAGGAAGAGAAAATTAAATTTTTATTCTAGCTTCATTTTGCATTTTCGTGGCAAATTCAATTGCAGCTGCTGCCGCTTCCCACTTCCTGTTGCACTTTGTTACTCCGAGGCAACTCCACTACCCACCAACCCCAAAAACTGCATTCCTTTGCTCCGTTTCAATTAGATAGCAACTCGGCAAAAGTTTATGCAAGAATTTCCCCGTATCTGCGCTAAAGTCTGTGCAAGAGCCAGAAAACACAAAACAAAACACACAAGACGCTGCAGCTGAAACAGCAGCCGAAATACTTATTTCTCGAAAATAAACGGAACGGCGACTGTACAAATATACAGATGGCGATGGCGAAAAAAGGGAATAAAATGCCAGGGAACGGAAATGAAATTGCAATTGCTGGCTTGGCCCACACAGACGACGCCAAGTCGCGAAGCGAAGCGTTGATGCGGAGCCAAGGGGACGGAGAAAGCCAAGTTTGCACTGCTTTTGCATGTTCTGAGCTGTTTATGCCTCGGTTTCCCTGCCTCTGCCTCGTTTTTGGCTTGGCCCGACTTGCAATGCCATTTCCGCCACGGTCTCATATTGCGCCCCAGCGTATGCAATAAAGTTTGCTCTGCGGCAGCGGCAGCGAAAGAAAGAGAGCTACAGTCGAAATTCCGCCAGTCGAAGATCCATTTGACAGGGAACAAGTACAAACAGATACAATATTTCTTCCTTTTTTTATGATTTTTGTTACATTACCTTCATTTACTTCTGCACATTTAAATATGTTTGGGCACACACCCCTTTGCTCTGAGCTTAAAACTTTAACAATTGAAACTGAATAATTATGGTATTTCATTTATGTGAGTTGCATACTATGCATGTGACAGCAGAGAATGGGAAAGCTGATCCAAATTAAAATACTTATTTTTTTGATTTTTTTATTCAGAAAATAAATGTGTATACAAATTTGATTTATTTTTATTTGTTAATAAATCTTCATTCTTTTTCAAAATTGTTTTTTGCCAGCTAAAAAATTTGAATATTTTGATTAACGGCTTTTGGATTTTAGTTTCCGTTGTGAAAGTTTTCAAGCATGAAGACAAATTATAAACAATTAGTCGCTACATTCTAATCATACCCACTCTGCGTAGTTAAAGAAATTTCCACAAGTAAAAGTTGGAATTATGTAGGAGAAACTAGATGCTTGACTCCCACTTCCACTCCCACTCCCAAGAGCCATTTGCCAAAGCCAAGCCAAACCCCACTTTCACCCGTTGGCCGCAAGGGCTTAATCAGGCGCAACTTTTTAGAAGAATTTTGCGGGGATTCCCGCTCTTAATGTCGCACCCGCACAACCGAGCACTATACTAAATATATAGAGCTATATAGCTGCGGCACACAGGAGCTCATTAGTTGGGCGGCAGTGGCGCTTAAGCTTAAGCTGCGAGCGTAGAAATTGCGCAGCTTTGGCGCTAAACAAGTTAATTAGTTTGCCTCTCTTTTTTCCGCAATGGCTGGAGTAAAGCTTAACGACAAAATAAATTATTTGCCGCACACACATAAGCGCCATGGAGACTTCAATTGACTTTATTAAGCGTGTGAGTGCGTGTGGGCGTGCCTGCGCTTTAATGACACTTTTCAGTCAGCTGCTGTCGCCACAGGACGTGGCTCTAGCCCACGTTTATTATCCCAGCGACAGGAGCTTCCTGTCTCTGAAGCGGCACAATGCCAGGATGTGTGTGTGCGGAGTGGCAAATGGGATCTCATCTACGGCCTGACTTTGATCTACGGCATATTAAACTCGACTCTGCGTTCGTTGGAGCCTTTTCTCAGTCTCACTCTATTATTCTTATTTTAAAATTAAACATTAATTATTTGGTAGCCATGAAAAATGATGTGCGGCCCACTGTGCAGCTGGGGCAACATTAGAAAACAAGGCAGCGGCAATTGTCTTTGTGTCGCATAAAAACACTTTGCTGTCCCCAGCCAAATATATGTACTACATATAGTACATGCGCTGCAGATATACCCATACAGCTGGGGTCGAAATAATAGGGCCAAACAGGATATAATTGTCCGCCATTATAGGAATTAAACTAAACGGGCAAGCCAATTTATTTTTATTTATATGTATGCAAATTGGGTCATAACTTAAATCTAAAGACAAATTATTCCTAAATTATATATCGTACACTTGGTATATCGTTTTTAAAATGTTTTATTTTTCATTCCGGCATTTGAGCTCATCAAACATTAAAACCATAATTTATTTCACAAAAAATGGCGTTATAAATCCATTAAGCTGTTAATCCTTGGACAAATTACGTGATAACATGATATGTATTGGACTAATAACACTTTTATAAAATTATAAATCACTATAAATTGCATTTTTTTTCAATTTTAAAAGTTGGCAACAGAATACGAATCCCATATTTTTACCGCAACTGTACTAGAGGAGCAGCCAACTCAGATACAAGCCTGTGCTCGTTTAATCTTGGATTTTAATAGCACGGCCATAATGTTGTGAGCCTCCCATTTCAGGACATCGAGCCGCAGCAGTCACAAGTAAATTGAATTTAATTAGGAACGAGTTTTTCATTGTGATTGCCAGGTTTTATTCGTCATAAACTTCGGACGGCAATAAAAGATCGAGCCTGCTGCCGGTTGCCTGCCAAATGCAAATGTGGAGCTCCTTTTTGGGAAGAAAACAAATTAGGAAAAAAAAAAATGGAATCTTTAAAGACGCCCAAACTTCTGGAGGCCCTAATTAGTGTGAGTGGGCCATTAAGAATTTGCTCAGGTTCGCGCTTAAAGTTAGCATCGAGTGTGGGCCAAAGAAATTAAAATTGAAATGTAAAAGTTGCCAAACTTTTTCCTCCACCGCCCCGACCCAGAACACACACATTATGGGAGTTGGCGGAAATTTAAAATGCAAAGCAAAACGCCGTGGAAAAGGGAAGCCGAAACCCAGAGCCTGGAACCCAGAACTTGCTTTCAAGTGGGTTCGTGGCAGGTGGGCTGAAAAAACTTGGTGCATTAAGTGCACTCTGCCGTGGAGGACCAGACAGCCGGGCGAAAAATGTATAAAAAGGTGAGCGAGCTGTGCTGCCAACTGCCACCAGCTCATTAAAAGCAAAAATGATATGCATTAAGTTGCCAGCGGTAACGAGGGCGTTAAAGGGCTGGACCTCGTCGACTGGACTCATTATGCCAAACTGGCGCCACTAATGGTCAGTGTTAATTGCGTGGAAAGCATTTGAAATGCACCACCCGAAAACCAGCGCCCCTTCGAACTGACATTCGCCTGATAAATTGTCATAATTCCAGGCCGCACAAAGGACCTCCATCTCCATCTCTCTCTGCGGACTGCCATCAATACATATTTCATTGCCCTGACACATGCATTAACATGTCTAATCGGCACGCAGGGGTCACAGTTGCAGCCAGGACACAAATGGCCCGAAAAGGAGGGCGCTGCGGGGGGTCATGTCCCTTTGAGAGCACGTAGCCATTATTCATTCTGCGGCCCCAGCATAATTTATTGCCCTTGGCACCACTCACATGTCAGACATTCCGAAGTGCTGCCCAACTGACAATTTGCAGAGACTGACATGCAGCAGTTTAACTTAACCCTTGACCCCCGACCCCTTCCCCTTTTCCTACCTCTTCGCAGGTGGCGGGGCCTTAAAATTTATTTTGTTTGACTAACTGACAAAACTCACTCCCACCTGTCTCGTCCGCTTGGCAGCAGTGTCTCACAAACTCGCTGCACTCGCTGTCACATCGATGACAGCCCCTCAGTCCAGCGGGTAAATTGGCAAGCGGGCGAACAGGGCGTATGCGCGATGTGGCCAGCACTGGCTAGAGCCGAAATGAGTTCGTTGTAGGACAAACAAACTTTGGAGATAGGAGTGCCCCTATTATGGAGTTGGTGAATGGTGATGGAAAAGTGGCGGAGGTTCAGTATCCCCAGTTTTCGCAAAAAACGACTATCTGTTGGCCAAAGACAAACTTTTTTAATTTCTCTGTGTTTTAATTTACCCTTTAGATGTTTAGAATTTTCTTTGTTTATTAAAAAAAAAGAAATCAAAGTCAGTTCAACTTAAGTTTTTAAAAAACAGGAATTTTTTTAAGTTGTAAAGTTTTTTATTACATAAGTAGGATGTCTTACAACTGAAAGTTCATTCAGCTGGATTTCATTTGGCCGACCACACCTTCGTCTAGACAGAAGCAGACGTCAATTTCCTCCAAGTAATTGGTTCTTACCAACAAGCAACCGCAATCTATTTCTCATGTTTCAATTGGATAAAATGTTTGCATCTCAGGGTTTGAGTTTAATTCTGTCTTTTTTTTAACTATAACCATATATTTTCTTATCTAGTCAGATTATGGTGTTAAGTTAAACAAAGTGCTCAGATCAGAAAATTTATGTCTTCAGATATTTATCTTTATGTGCATGCCATTAATATGATTTACGCTCCAATTTTGCCCACTTAAGATAAGATAGGTAAATCACCTAATTACAAACATAAACAATTTTATTTTAATGATTGCCACAAAGAAGACATTGGCTAGACCTCGGTAATATTTGGAATAATCTTCTTGTACACTTCAATGCCATTTAAGTAATATTCAGCCTTTAAGAATTCATCATGATCATGGATCAGTACCGGAGTATTTATGATGGGTGAGAATCCAATAGCTGGGATTCCCTGCTGACGAATAAACCGAGAATCGGTGACTGCGAAACAGACAATCGGTTTTACTTTCAGCTTACTGAAAAATAGAGAAATGTTAGAAATTGTAAATCAAAAGCTAACGAGAACTCACAGTTCATTTAGAGTGGCTTTCAAACCCATCCAATAGGGATTCGAATCATCCAGTTTGGTGGCTGCCACAAAGGCCTCTTTCAGGGGAAACTCAATCTCGATGCCACCACCTGCCTCCTTGCACCAGTCGCGGATTTGCTGCTCGAAGGCCACCAAATCCAGGGTGATGGACAGACGCATGTCGAAGATGGCCTCAAGAAGCGGCGGAACCACATTGCTTTGCACTCCACCACTCAACTGGGTGAGATTCACAGTGGTCACGTCACCGATGCTAAGACTCTGGTCGTTTTTCAGTCGCTGAATCTGCGAATCCCTGAACTCCGTCAGCTTGTTCAACACATAGTTCAGCTTTACGCCGGCAGTATCGGGCAACAATAGAGAACCATGGCCAGCAGTTCCATCAACTTTCAGTTTGAGAACTTCGGAGAAGAAAGGAGTCTCAATTCACTGGTGTAAAAGGTTGTTCAAGCTACTCACCCCATCGGATACGCTCGGCGTAGAACAAATGATGGACATCACTGGCACTAGTGCCTCCCTCGTCCAAACTAAATCCCACGTTCATTTGCTTGAAGTAATCCGCTTTAACGAACACTGCCATTCCAAGGATTCCCCCGATCTCCTCGTCAGGCACAAAGGTCACGTAAACAGTCCGTTTGGGCTGGAAGCCACTAGCCTTCAGAAGGCGAATGGCTCCCAGATACTGAGTGCCCACAGATTTCATGTCCTGAGTGCCCCGCGCAAAGATCCTTCCCTCCTCATCGATATCGGCAGCGAAGGGATCGTGGGTCCACTTATCCGGATACACGGGAACCACATCCATGTGCGAGTTCAGAATGATTGAGGGGAGCTCCGGTTGTTTTCCCAGCCACTTGATGATCACCACGGGCTTGGATTCAACCGCTGGATAAACCACTTCCACGGGAAGATTGAGGGAGTTAGCCTGCCGCTTGAGGAACTCCACGCAAGCAGCTAAGAAACAAGTGATGAATGCACTTTCGAAATATTCCACTTAATCATGTCCTTACTATAATCAATATCAGGGTGTACGGATGGAATACGCAAGTATTCCCGGAATATATTAATTTCCTCATTGTTTTCCCATTTTTCGGCACACATTTTGAGATGGTAAGAGAGATAAATTACGAATGAATGCTTCTAAGCATCCGCTGGCTATATATACCCCTGGTTTGTTCCAATTATAAGATTATCATATGGGGTTATGATAATAAAGTGTTTATCAAAAAGTACACCTTAAAGTGTGATGCTATACTTTATGCTATATAGATGCATGGGGAGAGTCATGATGATAACACAACTGACAAACATTATTTAATAGGAGATTAACTATTCTATTCTATTTCTATTTTCCTTTTGAGAATTTAAGAGATTATAAGAATTGGGGATTAAAAATTTTATTTTTGTTTATCTAATGCTAATAAAATAAAAATTTAATTTTAGTAGTATATCACTTTATTTTATATATGTCTTAGCATATCACTCTTTACATTTGATAAGATAGAATCCAAATAAAAAACTCGGCACACTTCTAAGAATCAGAACATCTTTATTCAGATAACGATCCACATTGCCTGATAAATCATTTCATTAAACTTCAGCCAGATTGCGAATAATCTTCTTGTACACTTCAATGCCATTAAGATAAACATCGGCCTGCAGAAACTCGTCGTGGTCGTGGATCCGCATGGTGGTGTTTATAATGGGTGAAAATCCAATTGCCGGCGTTCCCTTTTCCCGAATATAACGACTGTCGGTGGCACCAGGGCAAACGATGGGATGGACCTTTAATCCACTAAAATAACAGGGAGATTACGATCAAGCTAAGATACTATATAAATGGCACTTACAGTTCATCGATTGCGGCTTTGACAGCTAACCAGAAGGGATTCGAATCGTCCAGCTTGGTGGGTCCTATATAAGGTTCCTTCTGGAAGAAATCAATGTCGATGCCGCCACCCGCTTCCTCGCACCAATCGCGAATCTGCTTCTCGAAGGCAACCACATCCACGGTAATGGCAATGCGCATGTCGAAGACCGCCTCGAAGAGAGGAGGCACCACGTTGCTCTGGACTCCACCGCTCAGCTGGGTGAGATTCACGGTGGTCACATCGCCGCTGCTGAGGCTTGAATCCTTCGCCATGCTCTCCACTTGCGAGGTTCGGAACTCTGTGAGTTTGTTCAGCACGTAGTTCAGCTTCACGCCGGCGGTGTTCGGAAGCAACAGTGATCCGTGGCCAGAAGTTCCACTGACCTTTAGTTTGAGTCCTGCAGAAGAGACATATGATCTAGGAATCTTAGGAACTTAATTCTCTAGAGGAACTTGCCCCATCGCAAACGCTCGGCGAAGAACAAATGATGCACATCACTGGCACTAGTGGCTCCTTCGTCCAAGCTGAATCCCACGTTCATTTGCTTGTAGTTATCCGTTTTAACGAACTCCGCCATTTCGAGGACACCGCCAGTCTCCTCGTCGGGCACAAAAGTCACATAAACTGTCCGTTTGGGCTGGAAACCACTTGACTTTAAAAGCCGAATAGCTCCCAGATACTGAGTGCCCACAGATTTCATGTCCTGGGTGCCCCGCGCAAAGATCCTGCCCTCCTCATCGATATCGGCGGCAAAAGGATCGTGGGTCCACTTGTCTGGGAATACGGGAACCACATCCATATGGGAGTTGAGGATAATCGAAGAGAGTTCCGGCTGGCTTCCCAGCCACTTGATGATCACCACGGGCTTCGTTTGAACAGCTGGATAAACCACATCCACGGGAAGATTCAAGGAGCTCGCCTGACGTTTAAGAAACTCCACACAAGAGGCTACAAATTAATTGTTTGTAAAATGCGTAACTTTTATGGTCCAAGCGAAGCCTTACTGTAGTCTACATCGGGGTGCACGGTTGGTATACGCAAGTATTCCCGGAAAATTTTAATTTCCTCATTGTTTTCCCACTTTTCCAAAGCCATTTTGAAACTTCTGCTAGGAGACATAAACAGCAACTGAGCTGCACTAGAGATTCCGTGCGAATTTATAATCGCACTGTTTGCTTTCAAGTTTATGGTCAAGGCAATTTACATGTTTATCAAATGTGTTTGTGGTTGCGATAGGAAAGGCCTTATCAGCAGAAACCACTCGTGTGTTACCAAAAAATGGGGCTACATTTCTAGGAGCTTAACCAAATGGCAAATGAACCTTTGACCTATTAAACCAAAAATCTGTGTCATGTTCTTGGAATAAATCAAATATAATAGCAGCAAATGGAAAACATCAATTCGTAAAAAGTATGACAAGTTTCGGTAGCTTTGATTGATGGCCTTCCCTTTTAACTAATCAAGTGATTATTTTGGCTCTAATGGGCTTTCCAGGCTTCCAGCTCGCTATCTATATTGATATGATTCAGCAAAGTGCAGATATATGTATTCCCCATTATCTATACGGTCGGAAGGATAGAAACTTGTGTTTTCTTTAGATACACGTTGATATCTCTTTGAAGAAAGATATCCGTTTAATGCAGGGCAGATAAGATAGGAAAGACAGGAATTTTTGTATCAACTTATAACAAAATCATCAATCTTTATTTGATAAGGTTCTCAGGCGTTATTTCGAATTCGTTTTCAGACTGTGGCTAGGTTGCCCAATATTTTCTTGTAAATTTGAATGCCCTTCAAATAAGTTTCGGCTCCCAAATATTCGTCATGATCATGGATGCGCATGCTGGTGTTTTTAATGGGGGAGAATCCCAAGGCCGGAATGCCCTGAGCCCTAATATTCCTGCTGTCGGTGGCACCGGGACAAACGATGGGGTAGATCTTCAGGCCACTGTAATATATAGAAAAGTTGTATTAGAAACCGGTTAAATAAACCACTCTATCTAGACTTACAGCTCATCGGTGGCCGCCTTGAAGGCCAGCCAGAAGGGATTCGAGTCATCGATCTTAGTGGGCGCCACATAGGGCTCCTTCTCGTCGAAGGAGATCTCAATGCCGCCGCCGGCCTCCTCGCACCAGTCGTGGATCTGCTTCTCGAAGGCCACCACATCTAGAGTGATGGACAGGCGCATGTCGAAGACAGCCTCGAAGTGAGGAGGCACCACGTTGCTCTGGACGCCACCGCTCAGCTGGGTGAGATTGATGGTGGTCACATCGCCTATGTTTATGGTCTGATCCCTGGCCAAACGCTGGACCTGCGATTCGCGGAACTCCGTGAGTTTGTTGAGCACGTAGTTCAGTTTTACGCCGGCAGTGCTGGGCAGCAGCATCGAACCGTGTCCGGAGGTTCCACTGAAGTTCAGTTTGAGGCCTGCAAAGGAAAAGGGATGTATTTTAGAGACCCCTCTAATTCAGAGTTTATAGATCACTCACCCCATCGCATACGCTCGGCATAGAACACATAGAACAGATCGATTTCACTGGTGCCTCCCTCATCAAGGGAGAAACCCACGTTCATGTTGCTGTAGTACTCGGTCTTCACGAACTCCTGCATGCCCAGTTCACCGCCGATCTCCTCGTCGGGCACAAAGGTCACGAAAACATTGCGCTTGGGCTGGACACCGCTGGCCTTGAGCAGGCGAATGGCACCCAGATATCCTGTGCCCACCGATTTCATGTCCTGCGTTCCCCGCGCAAAGATCCTGCCCTCCTCATCGATGTCGGCTGCGAAGGGATCGTGGGTCCACTTGTCGCGGAACACGGGAACCACATCCATGTGCGAGTTCAGGATAATAGAGGGCAGTTCCGGTTCGGTTCCCAGCCACTTGATGATCACCACGGGCTTTCCCTCCACCGGATGTATGACGTCCACGGGGAGATCCAGGCTGTGGGCCTGTCGCTTCAGGAACTCCACGCACTCGGCTGAAAGTTCGAAGTAGACTTAAGTAATGCCTCTAAAAATCCTTTTGCCGAAGCCCTACTGTAATCCACATCTGGCTGCACCGTTGCTATACGCAAGTACTCCCGGAATATTTTGATTTCCTCGTTGTCCTCCCACTTTTCGGTGCTCATTTTGTGATCGGTGATGTGTTCGCTGCCAGTTAACAAACTCGAATGTGCGACGGTTGGCGAGAAATGAGCTTATACAGGTATTTTCGTGTTGGTGATTTTGATTTTATGGCCTTGGTTTTTAATTATTATCAAATAATGAGTGCGTTATCAACCGCCTGCGGGCTACCAATGTGATAACAGCGAGTATTCTTGTACAAAACTCTCCCAAAACAAATGTCTGATAGCAAACAGTAGCAACATTCGATATAGTTCAAATAAATACAATTGAAACCACACTCACCGATGTGAATATACCCTTATTACTATTATAAGGGTGAGATAGAAACCGTAAAAAAACAATTAATAGAAACACACATATGTTAGTGTCACAAAATATTATCTATAATGGTGACGAGTAATATTTATTGGATATTATTTGGGGACAAAGTCCATGACAAATTGTATTATCAGTGTTTGGCTGCAGATATGATTTGAACAACATTTAAACATTTAATTTCGGCCTTACACTCATCGCCTAAAAAACATTACTCATAAAAGATAAGACCAATCGAAGCATATTGATTTCAATTCTTGAAACACCAGTGGAGAAATTCAGTTGAATATTTTATGAATCAGCAATTGCCGGGATAAGCTTCCTGTACACCTGAATGCCATGCAGATAGGTGTCGGCTCGCAAGTACTCATCATGATTGTGCAGCAGCACGGGTGTGTTGTTGATGGGTGAAAATCCCAGAGCGGGAATCCCCATCCGCCGGACGTAGTAGCTATCGGTGGCACCGGGAAAAACTCGTGTGTGGGTGATCAGACCGCTGAAATTACACCGAAATTAGAAGAAAAAACTCTATAATCTCTGGTTATCCCTACAGTTCATCCAAACCCTGTTTCATGCCCAGCCAGTATGGATTGGAGGCATCTATCTTGGTCTCCACGGCGGGACACCTTAGTATGAAATCCAGTTCCACTCCGCCTCCAGCTTCATCACACCAATCACGAATCTGCCTCTCCAGTGCATCCTCATCTTGGGTGACGGCAATGCGAACATCGAAAACGGCTTCTATCAAAGGAGGAACCACATTGCTCTGGGTGCCCCCTTCCAGTTGGGTTAGATTCAAAGTGGTCACATCGCCGACCTCCCAGGAGGGGTTCCTGGCCAGCAGCTGAACCTGCGTTTCCCGGAACTTTATCAGCTTATCCATCACGTAATGGAACTTCTCGCCAGCCGTGTCCTTGTGCAGCAGCGAACCGTGTCCTGAATGGCCACTGAACTTTAAGCGGAGATCTGTGGAGATATCATATATCACATCATATCGTATCATATCACAAAAATAAAAAACTTACGCCACAGTGTGCGCTCGGCATAGAATACGGGATAGGACTCATTTTCGCTGGCGATGCCCTCGTCCAGGCTGAAACCCACATTCATGCCTTTGAAGTAATCACCCTTCACAAATTCGGCCATGCCCATGTCGCCGCCAGTCTCCTCGTCGGGCACAAAGGTCAGATAGACAGTTCTCCTGGGCTGATAGCCACTGGCTTTGAGCGCACGGACTGCAGCCATGTACTGGCAGCCCACTGACTTCATGTCCTGCGCACCGCGAGCATAAATCCTGCCCTGGTCGTCCATGTGGGCACCGAAGGGGTCGTGGGTCCACTTCTCGGGGAACACGGGAACCACGTCCATGTGCGAGTTCAAAATAATCGATGGCAGTTCGGGAATCTTTCCCAGCCATTTCATAACCACCACCGGTTTCGATGGCATCACAGGATGGATCACATCCACCGGTAGACCCAGGTTGCTAGCCTGCCGCTTTAGGAACTCCACGCAAGCAGCTGAAACAGAAAGAAAGGATAATAACAAAAACCAGGACGTACAATAGCAATCCTCACTATAGTCCACATCTGGATGCACCGTGGGAATGCGTAAATACTCCTGGAAAATTTTAATTTCCTCATCGCTTTTCCATTGTTCTCGGCAAGTGCACATTTTGAGTTGAATGCCCCGCGGTTGTAAAGAGACTGACTTGTTATCCTCGACGTTGTTTGGTTTTCAGTCTGAGTGTGGTTTGACTTTACGGCTTTATCAGTTGTTGACTCTAAGCTTCTTGATTAGAAACCCCAGCAATTTCGCGTGCACAGCTTCTTCTTTTATCTGGAAAACCCTAGATAGTAGAGCTGCTTAGTTATCGATGGTATTGTAATCACACTATCGATGATTTAAGGTTTAATAAACATACAAATTTGACATATATTTTAATTAAAAAACGTTTTTATTGGCCTGCCGAAATAGGTTTTTTTGAAACAAACATGGTAAAAACAGTCTAAAATGCATAATTTTGTTAAAATAAAACGGAATTCAGTTCGCTAAGCATCGGCTACGGCGGGAATGAGCTTCTTGTAGACCTCAATGCCGTGCAAATAGGTGTCGGCCTTCAGGAATTCATCGTGGTCGTGCAGCAGGATGGGCGTGTTGTTGATGGGCGAGAATCCCAGAGCCGGAATGCCTGCGTAGCGAACATAGCGACTGTCCGTGGCGCCGGGGAAAACTCGTACGCGTGTCTTGAGGCCACTAAAAATAAAAAAGGAAGGATGTCAAAGCTATGCCTTCAGTTAGGGCGCCTCATCCTTACAGGTCGTCGAGAGCCTTCTTGAAGGCCAGCCAGTAGGCATTCGACGAGTCAATCTTTGTTGGCTCCACAAAGGGGTTCTTCATCTCGAACTCCAGCTCGATGCCGCCGCCAGCCTCCTCGCACCAGTCGCGAATCTGCTTCTCGAAGGCCGGAATGTCCACGGTGACGGCAATGCGGATGTCAAAGACAGCCTCCAGCAGCGGCGGCACCACGTTGCTCTGCACTCCGCCCCTCAGTTGGGTCAGGTTCACAGTGGTCACATCGCCAATTTCCAGGGAAGAGTCGTCGGCCAGTTTCTGCACTTGGGATTTGCGGAACTCCATCAGTTTTCCAACCACATAGTTAAGTTTCTCGCCCGCTGTATTCGGCAGCAGCAGCGATCCGTGACCAGCAGTTCCACTAAACTTGAAACGGAGATCTGTGGGTTAAAATAAAGTACAAATTAATTAATTTAATTAATTAAACCAAAGTAATTTAGGTTCAAAAATTACAAAAAAAAGCAGGGATTGTAAATAAGAGTTAAGCTATTCAAAAATGTATTAAGTATTATTATTATAAAAAATATTTTGGGGACATATGGCATATCATCAGAAATAAAGCGTATATTATATATATATAAATTTTAAACAAATGAACCCCAAAGTTCAAGAGTTAATTTTATTCAATCTTTATTTTCAATTTTTATTATTAAAATTGACAAATAACTGTTATTTGTTGATTTTTATAATAAAAATTGAAAAATAAGAATTTTTTGTTAATTTTTTGAATAGATAATCTCTTATTTACGATCCCTGAAAAAAGGCTCTATAAAATATGAATCATATCATATCATGAAGGACAGATCTTTGATCCTTATATTCTTTAGTATACTTACGCCATAGAGTCCTCTCGGCGTAGTAAAGGGCGTAGGTATCGTCCGCGCTGGAGATGCCCTCGTCAAAGCTGAATCCCACATTGAGCTTCTTGAAGTAGTCGCTCTTCACCAGCTCCCTCATGCCCAAATGGCCGCCCACCTCCTCATCCGGAACAAAGGTCAAATATATAGTCCTCTTGGGCTGATAGCCACTGGCCTTCAGGGCACGTACTGCTCCCAGATATTGGGTGCCCACGCACTTCATGTCTTGAGAGCCCCTGGCGAAGATTCGACCCTCTGCATCCAGATCCGCGCTGAAGGGATCATGGGTCCACTTGTCCGCGAAGACGGGCACCACATCCGTGTGCGAGTTGAGGATGATGGAGGGCAGTTCCGGCTGGGATCCCTGCCATTTCAGCACCACCACGGGATTCTGCTCGTTCACCGGATAGATAACCTCCACGGGCAGGTCCAAGCTGGCGGCCTGGCGCTTCAAGAATTCCGTACAGGCGGCTATAAATAGCAGACACATTTTACGGCAAGGTCATAAAGATCGGGCGCCTTATCGCAGCCTCATAAAGATATATATTCCATAAAAACAACTCACTGTAATCCACATTCGGATGAACTGTTGGTATGCGAAGATATTCGCGAAAGATCTTGATCTCCTCGTCGTTCTCCCACTTGGCGGTACTCATTTTGAACTCTATAAATCGGTGAATTAGCCGGTTGATAAGCAATCAATTAAATTGTTTGTCCAAACAAAGAAGCCAATCAGCTGATCCGCAGTTCACCACAGAAGGCTACCTTTCTCACCTCTGATCGTAGACACCCTGTGGACTTGTTTGGCGCAAAGTAACGACTGTGCGATCGTGGTGAAAAGCGCGCGTTTAAATACCAGCGATAAGGAAGAGAAAGAGAGGGCATGATAATCACACTAAAAAGCAATTAAACCTAATTTTCTTATCTTGCGGTTTTGCCTATAAACTGTTTTATCAGAAGCATTTGTTTACTTTTTGGTGGCTAATCTAAAACTGTGCATACAAATGACTTGCACTAAATTATGTGTGGACAGTTTTATTGTTTTTAACGCGAAACTATGTCAGTTCTTTTCATCAGACACGTCTCTTTAAATTTAAAATTTAATAATATAATGAGATGTAAGGATTTTCCCCCATTAAAACTTTATTCATAGATCAAAAACCATCAATTTTAAAGCTAAAAGTTAAACTTCACTTTGATTTTGTCATCAAATCGGTTTGGCAGCTCATAACACCATGATTGAACAGCAATGAAAATCAATTTCAGTGACGCCCAAATTGGTAGAGACTCCTTGCGTGGGTAAACATTTCACCATCACTTTCCAGTACATGCGAACCCACTTTAAGGCTCATTTACTTGGTATTCCCCCTGGGCTGATGGATTTATTTGCCTTAAATCGGTGGCGAAAGTGCTTCGCATTGCTTGCGGGGCAACAGAACAGGATGGCCGGATTGATGGTGGCTCCATTTGGCCCGCACCCAAGATTTCCGATTGCTGATGAATCGCATGCAATCGCATTCCAATTCCAGTTGATTTGTTAATCAAGATGCACGGCACACGTCCACGCCCACACGCCCACTGGGGGTTCTGTGTAAACAAGTTGCCGTTCCTGGGGCCTTTCAGCCACTCCAAAATTTCGCATATTAATAGTGTTGCTGCTGCTGTTGCTGTTGCACTTGCCAATGCTGCTGCTGCAATGCGACTCTTGTCCCTGTGTGTCAAAAGTTTGTTTTAGATTTAGATTTCACGCTTGTTCCCATAGTGAAAAAAGCCAAAACCGAAGCCCTGAGATTTGTGTTGTGTGTTTCCATGTACTCGGTGCCAAAGTTGATATTGTTTTAGTGTGTGTACTCACAAAAAGTCATTAAAAGTTCATTAACAATGTTGCTGGGATTTTAATGGCGCACCAGCAGCAATAACAGCAACTACAGGCTACACATGTCTGCATTTTAAATAACATCCAGGCACAACATTCGCACAAACTCGAATTCCCCCCATTTACAACGTCACATAAGTCAAATAAACACACAAACTTCCTGCGCACAAACACTCGCACAGCTGCACAGTGGGTTAAAAGGGCAAATTTATTGGGTAATTTTATGAGGAACTTACTTTTAAATTTGGGAAAATTACTAGTTTTTGTGAAATGAAATTTAAAAAGTAGAGTAACACAATCACTAATCGTATATTATATCTTATGGTAAAGAATCATAATATTTGAAAGGTAAATACTTAAAATATAAAATGTTTTTTTTTTACTTTTTTACATGTTTTAAGTTGGTAGAAAATCCTTATAAAATCTATAAAACATACCAATTTTTTTTTTTTTAAAGTGACTTTTTGCCCATGGTTAGCTGGGGGCGTGGCTGCTTGCTGATGTTGTTGGTGCTGTTGTGCTGACATGTTGTCGCTGGGCAAATAAACTAAATAAAATTTTTGTATATTGTAACAATTATCCGGGCATCGCCGGGAACTGTTTGCGTTGAGTTCCCAGCTGAGGAGGCTCGAGGATGTCGGGTGCGAGTGGGTGGGAGTGCCTCCTAATCCGTTATGGGCGCATTACCTGGCCGAAAAAAACGAGAATATAACTGATATAATCCTGCTATACCATTTACCGTATCCCTCTACGCAGGAGCACTCCCTTTTGTTCGGGCTTTGGCCAAAGCCTTGGCAAACTTTCGGTAGCATGGATACGTGGGCGGAGGACTGACAGCTCAAGGACAATCCGGCGGGCATGCGTTTGCATCTCCCGGAGAGCTTCAATTTGTGAGTGTGTGTGTGTGCCAGGCATTAGGTGAACAAAAAAGCGCTCAGCTCTTGGCAAGCACTTTAGCAAACTGCACTCACAGCCGACATCGATATACAAAAAGTGCTGGCCAACAGTGCGTATGCGTGCTGCACACTACGCAAGCAAGGCGAAACTACTCGAAATGGTTTATATTCACAAGTTGTGCGAATGTCATCAAAATGTGGAGCACTCGGCCTGCAAATTGGATGCACATCCATAAAGCCGCTGCAAATGCGCCAGTAAAAAGTGTGTTTACATAATTAGCAGTCATAATTTAATTGATCGACAGTTATCGCTTGATTAAAGATAATTATTACGCACTATATGTATTGAAACAAAAAATCCATCAGCTTTAATTTTAATTGTCAGGCTTCGCATTTGCAAATCCCACAATTCAATGGCCTCGATTCCTGTTTGCTTTGGCAATTAATCGCATTCGACGTTCAATTATGCAGCTACCAATAGCCTGATGCAATAAAGCATATCAAATATTTATTTAGCTGTATGTCTGTGGGTGTATATTACAAATTTGGTCGGATGCATTTTCGGCCGGTGCAAATAATCAGTTTTGATTCTGCATAAATCAAATTACATTCAAATTTTGGTAGTGATTTCAGAACTGCCTCAGCATTGAATACTTTTGTGTGAGCTGTAATTTCAATTACTAAGCAATATTAATCTGCAGAGCAAATTAATAAAATTTTAAATTGCAGAAGATATAAAGAGAATCGATTTTAAACCTGTAAATTTTTATTTTTTGACTTTTTTTGCAATTGGAAAACCCATTAGTTTAGTGAAATTATTCTGGCAAATAATTCCTTAGTTGAGAAATGGGCAAGTAATTCTGTTTTATGACTTTTGCCATTAACTGACTTAGCTGAATAGAGTGGGCTTTATTTATAGTTAAAAGTGGTATTATTTGCTCTGTTGCAAGTGCAGCTTAAAAGCAGTCGAGGCAGAAATCATTGCATACTTAGGAGCTCCTAAGCTCACGACTCTATGAGTGAGGACTCTGCAAAGGACGATGGGACACAGATAAGCAGGCAACAGGCATCGCACTTGGCAATTACAGCAACAGAGATTACAGAACATGAAGAACACCACCAACAACGAGCAAACACAACAATATCCGCGGGCCAAAGCAGCGCCTTCAAAGCAAATAACACACAAAAGTTATGATAAATGCAGATGGAGCAGGGCTAACGGCATTATTGCCTGTCATTTCTCATCAGCGGAGTTCGACAGAAGGAAAACGGGGAGAGTGCAAGTGAGAGGGAGACAGCGGATAGACAGAGACGGCAGCAGCAACAGCCGACTTCCGGGTGGCGCCGCCATTTTTGCTGGGCCATAATGGCTGCCAGCTAAATCCGGGGTGCGCCGCCCGTCTGAATGGCTTGTAATGAAAATGGTGGAAAGCGGGAAAAGCGGAAAATAAAACATGATTTTTGCCTTGCTTTTATTTTCTATTAAGAACCCAGCGCATAGAGCACAGTGCCATCACCATTTCACCCCCTTTTGCGTGAGCGATGAATTGCAATTTGCTAAGTTTTTGTTTGCTCTGTCTGGGAGTTGCTGATGTAACTCGGAAAAACTTCATTTTCCGCTACTTCATTCGAGCTCTGTGTGTGTGTGAGTGTGTGAGTGTTTGCTTTTGTGTTTGGGCGCGAGCGACAGTTTCTTGTCCGCCACGACCCATTTTGCACTTTCTCCTCGGAGGCGGACAGCTGCTCGTGATGTGTGGCAATGAATTGCACTCCCATTTCGCCAGCTGTCCCCTGCCAAAGGCAAAGCTAAAGGATTTTTAATTGCCGCTGCACAGGGGAAAACTATTAGTTATGAGTTTGATTGCCAGTAGTATATAACTAAAATATGTTAAAGTTTTTTTTTGTTCTCACTAGACATCCTAGAAAAATAAAAGTATTTCGAATTTTAACAGCATTTTTACAAGTTCATTATTTTGGTAAACAAAATTTTTTTTAAATATCACAACGCTCTTTTAAAAATGTTCATATTTGTGTTTGACAAATTTTTAGCTTAGTTAAATTATTTTGAATTTATTTTCTTCGCTGCTTAAATTCTAAAGATATATTTAATCGGGATTTATTTTAGAAGAACATTAAAAATGTATATAAATGTGTTTGAAATACTTTCTGTTTTTAATGAGTGTTTTTGAGGATACCCCTGTTTGATAGAAGTCTTATAAAGTTATCTACTGTAAAATACCATCAGAAAAATTCCCCCAAAAAATCAAATTTTAATAATTTGATATAAAGCCGCATTTATTTCCTCTGCACAAACCACGTGTGTCTGTCCGGCGGATACGAATTCCGATTCGGATTCGGAGTTGGCCAGTGTCATTTGCAGCTATCTGGTTTCCTGGCAAGCTTGAATGGCTGGCAAACAGGCAGCTGGCAAGCTCGGCTTCTTCCTGGCAATCACATCGCCCCCACGCTCACATCCGCATCCGGATCCGCAGCAGCAGGAGTCGGAGTACTCGCAGGACTCACAGGACTCGCCCTGCTAATGACCGCTGCTAAGTGCCTCGATTTGTGCGGTGCACTCCGCTCGACCAGAACTGCAATTAACTAATTGATTGAACTATTCAATCGGTGAAAATGCCGAGCACTTTGGGGAGCCAGGAGCGTGTGACTGGGTGTGGCCGGCTTATTAAAGGATTGGCTCGGTTTGCTTTGGTTTGGTTTGGTTTGGCGTTTAAGGAGCGAGCATTTAACGCTTCAGACTGCAGACTGCGGACTACGGACTTCAGTCAGTGCCCATATCTGTGGCCTTTGTGGCGTGAACGGGGCACATTGCTCACCCGGAGTTGAAAGCTTTTAAATGCCCCCATTAGCAACCGCCCGCATAACACACCGAGTCGCTCGCTTCAGTTGAGTTCCTA